AGATGTAGATGTATGTAGAGATGTAGATTAGATGTATGAGATGATGTAGATGTAGATGTAGATGTTGGATGGATGAGGACTAAACCAGGTCTAAACCAGGACTTAAACAGGACTGACAGGACTAAACCAGGACTGTTAAAACCAGGACTAAACCAGGACTGAACCAGGACTAAACCAGGACTAAACCAGGACTAAAACCAGGACTAAACCCAGGTGAACTAAACCAGGACTAAACCAGGACTAAAACCAGGACTGAAACTAAACAGGACTAAACCAGGACTAAACCCAGGACTAAACCAGGACTAAACCAGGACTAAACCAGGAAACTTAAACCAGGACTCCAAACCAGGACTACCAGGACTAACTAAACAGGACTAAACCAGGACTAAACCAGGACTAAACCAGGACTAAACCAGGACTAAACCAGGTCTTAAACCAGGATCCAGGATTCTAAACCAGGAACTAAACCAGGAACTAAACCAGGACCAGGTAAACCAGGACTAAACCAGGAAAACCAGGACTTAAACCAGGACAAACCAGGACTCTAAACCAGGGAACTAAACCAGGACTTAAACCAGGACTAAACCAGGACTTAAACCAGGAAAACTAAACCAGGGACTGAAACCAGGGGACTAAACCAGGACTAAACCAGAAAACTGAAACCAGGAACTAAACCAGGTCTAAACCAGGACTGAAACCAGGACTGAAACCAGGACTAAACCAGGTCTAAACCAGGACTAAACCAGGTCTAAACCAGGACTAAACCAGGACTGAAACCAGGACTGAAAACCCTAAACCAGGACTGAAACCAGGACTAAACCAGGACTGAACCAGGACTAAACCAGGTCTAAACCAGGACTAAACCAGGGACTAAACCAGGACTAAACCAGGACTAAACCAGGACTAAACCAGGACTAAACCAGGACTGGAAAACCAGGACTAAACCAGGACTAAAAACCAGGACTGAACCAGGACTAAAACCAGGACTAAACCAGGAAACCAGAGTAAAACCAGGACTAAAACCAGGACTAAACCAGGACTAAACCAGGACTAAACCAGGACTAACTAAACCAGGTTAAACTAAACCAGGTCTAAACCAGGACTAAAACCCAGAAACTAAACCAGGTCTAAACCAGGACTAAACCAGGACTAAACCAGGTCTCTAAACCAGGTCTAAACCAGGTCTAAACCAGGTCTAAACCAGGACTAAAACCAGAACTAAACCAGGTCTAAACCAGGACTAAACCAGGACTAAACCAGGACTAAACCAGGACTAAACCAGGACTGAACCAGGACTGAAACCAGGACTGGAAAACCAGGACTAAACCAGGACTAAACCAGGACTAAACCAGGACTAAACCAGGACTGAAAACCAGACTAAACCAGGACTAACCAGAGACTAAACCAGGACTAAACCAGGACTAAACCAGGACTAAACCAGGACTAAACCAGGACTAAACCAGAAAACCAGGACTGAACCAGGAACTAAACCAGGACTAAACCAGGAAACTAAAAACCAGGACTAAACAGGACTAAACCAGGACTGAACCAGGACTAAACTAAACCAGGACTGACTAAACCAGGACTAAACCAGGACTAAAACCAGGACTAACCAGGACTAAACCAGGACTGAAACCAAACCAGGACTAAACAGGACTAAACCAGGAAACTAAACCAGGACTAAACCAGGACTGAAACTAAACCAGGACTAAACCAGGACTAAACCAGGACTAAACCAGGACTAAACCAGGACTGAAAACCAGGACTAAACCAGGACTAAACCAGGACTGAACCAGGACTGAAACCAGGACTAAAACCAGGACTAAACCAGGACTAAACCAGGACTAAACCAGGACAGGACTGAACCAGGACTAAACTAAACCAGGTCTAAACCAGGACTAAACCAGGACTGGAACCAGGACTAAACCAGGACTAAACCAGGACTAAACCAGGACTAAACCAGGACTAAACCAGGACTAAACCAGGACTAAACCAGGACTAAACCAGGACTAAACCAGGACTAAACCAGGACTAAACCAGGACTCCAGGTAAACCCAGACAACCAGGACTGAACCAGGACTAAACCAGGACTAAACCAGGACTAAACCAGGGACTAAACCAGGACTAACCAGGACTAAACCAGGACTAAAACCAGGAACTAAAACCAGGATTAAACTAAACCAGGACTAAACCAGGACTAAACCAGGACTAAACCAGGTCTAAACCAGGACTAATCTTGGACTTAAGAGAAAAACGTCCGAGCAGTTTGTCCACAAAGTTCAAGATCAGGCAACTGCCGCGTTTACCTCTGTGAGGTGCAGAGTTGAGCCGCTCCTTTCTCCTGTGTCACCACCAAACCGACCTGACACTGAGTCCTGGTTTAGTCCTGGTTTAGTCCTGGTTCAGTCCTGGTTCAGTCCTGGTTCAGTCCTGGTTTAGTCCTGTTTTAGTCCTGGTTTAGTTCTGGATTACTCCTCCTCTTCAGTCCTGGAATCAGTCCTGGTTTAGTCTTGGTTCAGTCTGTGGTGTAGGCAGCGCAAAAGTTTGATATAATCTCGGGTTAACGGGCAGGTGTGGTCCTGTCCTGGCAGGTGCGGTCCTGTACTGGCAGGTGCGGTCCTGTACTGGCAGGTGGGTCCTCCAAAAACGGCCCCGTGCAGGACTCTGTGCTGTCGGCTCCATTATGGAATAAATGAATCTTCAGTTTGTTCCATAAAGAAGGAGGAAAATAACAAAAGGACGACAACAGCAACAAGTTTGAAGAAGGAAGTAAAAAGTGTTGCACCTGTCGATCCTGTCGGAGAAAAGTGTATAAAGTTTGTGCTGAGGTTTTACAGACTTAAAACAGATAGAATAATTGTAAAATATAAAGTTGATACTTGGTGGATTTCACCTGTCGCAGGTTATTTTTAGAACATAACTCCCACGATAAACGAGGGACACTGTCCTCTCACCTCAGCCTGTGCACATGGACTCACACTTGTCCCGACCAGGACGGAAAAAAGAGAATTTCTTGTCCAAGTCTTTGTTAAATCCACATTTGTGCTTCGGTGTGTTTCAGACCCACTGTTTGTGTCTCGCTCCTTCTGAGTCACAGACGAGAGACGCTCAGTTTAATGAACGATACTGAAAACCTGGACATTTGCATCACTTAAAAAAAAAAAAAACCTGGACATGACGCAAAATACGGACATGTCCAGGGAAAAACGGACGTTTGCTCACCCTATGAAAATAAATACTGACACACAATCATCAGTATGAAGTGTGAAGTTCTTTCTCACTAAGAAAACCAGGGGAGCTACATTCAACGTTTTGTCCATAAATACATTTCTAATCTCAGTGTTTTTCAGTCGTTTTCTCCCAAACAGAATCATTTTGTCTTGAATCTGCTGCTCAAACTCACCAAGACTGAAACTTCAACAACATCTGATAAAAATAATCTGGATTTGGGACCAAAAATGTGCAGAGGAAGAATCTGGACCAACGTCGACATCAGAAGAGAAGCAAGAGGAAGGTCGTGAAAAACTCTTGAAGCCCCAGGAGTTCGTAAGTAGAACAAGTTTAAAAAAACAGATTCCTCCAGTGACGGTTTGGAGTCACCAGATTCTTCCTCTGCACATTTTTGGTTCCAAATCATTTTTTCCAGATGTTTTTGAAGTTTCAGTCTTGGTGAGTCTGAGCAGCACAAGACACAAAATGATTCTGTTTGGGAGAAAACGACTCAACCTGAAAACACAACAAAAAAAAACAAATAAAATCTTCATCTGTTTCTGAACTGTGAAAATTTGAGCTGATTTCAACAAGAAACTGACAAAATGATCGACCTGAGAAACAATGTTAAACTTTTTGGGACACCTGTACATACAGTATTTACAGTCGTGTTGTAGGCCTCAAGACTGCTTTTTTACGGTCTTTGTCTCATCTAGGACTCGGTCTTGTCTTGGACTTGGTCTCGGTCTCGTCTCGGTCTCGTCTCGGACTCCAGGTCTGACTCTGGTCGAGTGTGATCATGTTTCGGCCGCTGCTGTCGGTGCGGCTGAAGTTTGTGTTTGTTAAATGTTCAGAGGATAAATCTCACTGAAAAACCACGAAGAGACTCAAACTCCAGTTAGAAAAACAAGTTTAAAAACCTGACAAAACTTTCTTCACTTTCTTCAATTTTGTGAAACTTCTCAAACTGTGGTGAGAGTTTAAAAATGGGCACAGAGTTTCAGAGCCGAACAGTTTGGTTTATTTTAGGTCTAAATGAAAAATAACCAGATAAAATGGAGATAGATTTACAAAAACATTGATATATTTGTGCTAAAATATCTGTAAAACACAAATAAATATCGAAAATGCCAAAGATGGTCTCGGTCTCGGGACCTGGGGTCTCGGACTGGTCTTGGTCTCTCAGTGCTCTTGACTTCATTAGTTTACAGGACATTTATAAATAGAATAGTTTCTGGAGCGTGTGGTGATGTCCTGAAGCTGCGAGGAAAGAAGGAAACTACAGAGGAAACCTGAAGGAGACGTCAGGAACAATAATAAAACTGTAAAGGACGTTTGACATGAGGAAGAATTCTCAATCTGACATTAACACTCAGAAAAAAAATAAAAAAAACAGAAAATCCAAACTAGAGCTCAGGGAGTGCAGCACTGAGAAAAATGACAAAACCCGACAAAAACCACAGAAAAACCTAACAAAACACAAGAAAAATGAGGAAAAAATGACAAAATGTGACAAAAACTGAAGAAAACGTGACAAAACACAAGAAAAATATGACACAAATATGACAAACCACAGAAAAACCTGACAAAAGACAAGAAAAATATGATACAAACATGACAAAAACACGAGAAAAATTTGACAAAACATGAGACAAACACAACAAATCTATAACAAGAACATGAGAAAAATGACAAAACGCGACAAAAACACGAGAAAAATGTGACACAAATCTGAGAAAACGTGAGAAAATCGTGACCTCAGAGAAACAAACGAGAAACCAGAGCAGATCTCAGGAAGTGCAGCTTTTTATTGACAGATTTGAGGTTTGCAGATGATTTGAAGAAGAAGATGAAGATGATGTTGCTGATGTTTTCGGCGTCTTGTGGCTCCCTCTAGTGGTCGGGGCTGAGGAAGGCGAGCACGTTCCTCCCGGGGCCGCAGTACTTGGTGTTCTCGATCTCTCCTCCTCCGTTACTCGGCTTCTGGAAGTGAATCTCCAGCTGGTCCTGCACCTCCTCCTCGTCGCCCGTGTCCCTGATGCCGTCCAGGAGCAGAGTTCGCTTCGGAACGCCGCAGGAAGTCTGAAGAAAACAAGAAGAAGAAGAAGAAGAAGGAAAAAACAGAAGACAAAAACAAGAGAGAAAAATATGACCAAAACAACAGGAAAATATGACAAAAAAACATTAGAAAAATATGACTAAATTATGAGAAAAATATGACAAAAACATCTGAAAAATATGACAAAAAAATGACAAAATATGACAAAAATATTAGAAAAATATGACCAAAAACAGGAAAATATGACAAAAAAAACATTAGAAAAATATGACTAAAATATGAGAAAAATATGACAAAAAAATTTGAAAAATATGACAAAAACATCTGAAAAATATGAAAAAAAAAGACAAAATATGACAAAAAATATTAGAAAAATATGACCAAAAACAACAGGAAAATATGAAAAAAAAATTAGAAAAATATGAGTAAAATATGAGAAAAATATAACAAAAACACCAGGAAAATATGACCAAAATTTTTTTAAATATGACAAAAAAATTACAAAAATATGAGAAAAAATGAGAAAAATATGACAAAAATACCAGGAAAATATGACCAAAAAATAACCAAAAAATGAGAAAAATATGACAAAAAATATTTGAAAAATATGACCAAAAAAATAACAAAAATATGAGAAAAATAAGACAAAAACACCAGGAAAATATGACAAAAAATGATAAAATATGACAAAAAATATTAGAAAAATATGACCAAAAATTACAAAAAATATGACAAAATATGATCAAAAATAAATAAATAAAAACAAAATAGAAAAACATGACAAAATGTGCACAGAGTTTTACCTGGAACTTCTGCAGCTCAAACTCAAAAACAGGAAACACTTTGACTTTGGTCTGAAACTCCAAATCCACCGAATATTCTCCTCTGAGGGCTAACCACTCTGCCACTGACCACAGAAACACAAACAAACAAACAAACAGATAAACAGACAAACAAACAGACAAACAAACAAACAAACAGATAAACAAACAAACAAACAAACAAACAAACAAACAAACAGACAAACAAACAGACAAACAAACAACAAACAAACAGATAAACAGAAAAAAACAGACAAACAAACAAACAAACAACAAACAAACAAACAAACAGACAGACAAACAAACAGACAACAAACAAAACAAATAAACAAACAGACAAACAGACAACAAACAAACAACAGACAAACAAAACAAACAAACAAACAGACAAACAACAAACAAACAAACAAATAAACAAACAGACAAACAAACAGAACAAACAAACAAACAAACAAAACAAACAGAACAAACAAACAACACAAACAGACAAACAAACAGACAAACAAACAAACAAACAAAACAAACAGACAAACAAAACAGACAGACAAACAAACAAACAGACAAACAAACAGACAAAAACAAACAAAAACAGACAAACAAACAGATAAACAGACAAACAAACAAACAAACAAACAGACAAACAAACAGACAGACAAACAAACAGACAAACAACAAACAGACAAACAAACAAACAAACAGACAGACAAACAAACAAACAGAAAGAAAGAAAGAAAGAAAGATGATGATGAGATGTTTAGACGTCCACAAACCAGGACTAAACCAGAACTAAACCAGGTTCCTTCCTCGCTCTCTCTTTCCTATCTCCTTCCCTCCCTCCTTCCCTCTCTTCTCTCCTCCTTCCTTCTTTCCTTCCTTCCCTCCTTCCCTCTCTCTCTCTCGCCTCCCTCCCTCCTCCCCTCTATCCTTCCCTATTTCCTCGTTCCCTCTCTCCTTCCCTCTCTCTTTCCTTCCCTCCTTCCCTCTCTCCCTCCTCCCCTCCTCCTCCTTCCTTCCTTCCCTCCTCCCTCCCTCCTTCCTCCTCCTCCTCCTCCCTCCTTCCTCTTCCTCCTTCCCTCCTCCCTCCCTCCCTCCCTCCCTCCCTCCTCCCTCCTTCCCTCCTTCCCTCCTCCTCCCTCCTTCCCTCCTCCCTCCCTCCTCCTCCTCCCTCCTCCTCCCTCCTCCCTCCTCCTTCCTCCTTCCTTCCTCCCTCCTCCCTCCTCTCCTTCCCTCCTCCCTCCCTCCCTCCTTCCTCCTTCCCTCCTTCCTTCCTCCCTCCTTCCCTCCTCCCTCCTCCTCCCTCTCCTTCCCTTCCTTCCTTCCCTCCTCCCTCCTTCCTCCCTCCTTCTCCTCCCTCTCCTCCCTCCTTCACCTCCTTCCTTCCCTCCTTCCCTCCTCCTCCTCCTCCTCCCTCCTCCCTCCTCCTCCCTCCCTTCCCTTTCCTCTCCTCCCTCCTCCTTCCCTCCTTTCCCTCCTCCCCTCCTCCCTCCTTCCCTCCTCCCTCCTCCCTCCTCTCCCTCCTCACCTCCTTCCCTCCTTCCCTCCTTCCCTCCTCCCTCCTCACCTCCTCCTCTCCCTCCTCCCTCCTCCCTCCTTCCTCCTCCCTCCTCCCTCCTTCCCTCCTCCCTCCTCCCTCCTCCTCCTCCTCCTCCTCCCCTCCTTCCCTCCTCCCTCCTCACCTCCTCCCTCCTCCCTCCTCCTTCCTTCCCTCCTCCCTCCTCACCTCCTTCCCTCCTCCCTCCTCCCTCCTCCCCTCCTCCCTCCTCCCTCCTCCCTCCTCACCTCCCCCTTCCTCCCTTCCTCTCCTTCCTCCTCCTCCTCCTCCTCCCTCACCTCCTTCCCTCCTCCCTCTTCCCTCCTCCCTCCTCCTCCTCTCCTCCCTCCTCACCTCCTCCCCTCCCTCCTCACCTCCTTCCCTCCTCACCTCCTTCCCTCCTCCTCCCTCCTCACCTCCTTCCCTCCTTCCCTCCTCACCTCCTTCCTTCCCTCCTCCTCCCTCCTTCCTTCCCTCCTCACCTCCTTCCCTCCTCCCTCCTCCTCCTCCCTTCCCTCCTTCCCTCCTTCACCTCCTTCCCTCCTCCCTCCTCACCTCCTTCCCCTCCTCACCTCCTTCCCTCCTCCCTCCTCCACCTCCTTCCCTCCTCCCTCCTCACCTCCTCCTCCTCCTCCCTCCTTCCCTCCTCCCTCCTCACCTCCTTCCCTCCTCCCTCCTCACCTCCTTCCCTCCTCCCTCCTCACCTCCTTCCCTCCTCACCTCCTTCCCTCCTCCCTCCTCACCTCCTGGCTTGAGGAACGTGACTCGTGCCGTGTTCTTCTGAGGTTTGTACTGGACGTTCTTGACCTCAGCTCCTCCTCTGCTCGGGCGAGAGAAGGACAGAGCCAGACACTCCTCCACTCGCTCCCTCGGCATCGCGCTCGCCACCTCCGCCACGTCCAGGTGCGAGCGCGAGACCGACAGGTGGACCTGCGGCGCACACGGACACCTCGGGTCAGCTTCAGGTCACCTTCTCGCCTTCTCGTGTTCTTACGTTTGTTTCTGTCGTACCTCGAACTGGACGGTCGGCTCGGTCCGGAACCTCTTCGGCTTCACGTCCAGAGTCTGATCGTCGAAGGAGACGCTGCATTTGTCCATCTGCAGAACCTGAGACAGAACTGAGGAGAAGGAGAACATCACAGAGGAACGTCAGAGGAACATCACAGAAGAACATCACAGAGGAACATCAGAGGAACATCAGAGGAACATCACAGAGGAACATCAGAGGAACATCCGAGTAACATCAGAGAGGAACATCAGAGGAACATCAGAGGAACATCAGAGGAACATCAAGAGGAACATCAGAGGAACATCAGAGGAACATCAGAGGAACATCACAGAGGAACATCACAGAGGAACATCAGAGGAACATCAGAGGAACATCAGACGAACATCACAGAAGAACATCACAGAGGAACATCAGAGGAACATCACAACATCACAGAGGAACATCAGAGGAACATCACAGAGGAACATCACAGAGGAACATCAGAGGAACATCCGAGTAACATCAGAGAGGAACATCAGAGGAACATCAGAGGAACATCAGAGGAACATCAGAGGAACATCAGAGGAACATCAGAGGAACATCAGAGGAACATCACAGAGGAACATCAGAGGAACATCACAGAGGAACATCACAGAGGAACATCAGAGGAACATCAGAGGAACATCAGAGGAACATCACAGAGGAACATCAGAGGAACATCAGAGGAACATCAGAGGAACATCAGAGGAACATCAGAGGAACATCAGAGGAACATCACAGAGGAACATCAGAGGAACATCAGAGGAACATCAGAGGAACATCAGAGGAACATCAGCGGAACATCAGAGGAACATCAGAGGAACATCAGAGGAACATCAGAGGAACATCACAGAGGAACATCAGAGGAACATCAGAGGAACATCAGAGGAACATCACAGAGGAACATCAAGAGGAACATCAGAGGAACATCAGAGGAACATCAGAGGAACATCAGAGGAACATCAGAGGAACAGAGGAACATCACAGAGGAACATCAGAGGAACATCAGAGGAACATCAGAGGAACATCAGAGGAACATCACAGAGGAACATCAGAGGAACATCAGAGGAACATCAGAGGAACATCAGAGGAACATCAGAGGAACATCAGAGGAACATCAGAGGAACATCACAGAGGAACATCAGAGGAACATCAGAGGAACATCAGAGGAACATCAGAGGAACATCACAGAGGAACATCAGAGGAACATCAGAGGAACATCAGAGGAACATCAGAGGAACATCAGAGGAACATCAGAGGAACATCAGAGGAACATCAGAGGAACATCTGAGAGGACTAAACCAGGACTAACCCTCTCTCCTTTTGTTTTTTGTTGTTTTGTCGTTTGTTTTTTACCTTTCTCCTCCTCGAAGGTGATCAGCGCTTGTCCGGGCTTCAGGAGCAGCGCCCCCTGCTGACTCACACGGAACTGGCCTCTGATTGGCTCTTCAGAGGAGGAGGCGTCGCCTTCGCCGCTCGACTTCGGTTTAACAAACTCGACCG